TACTCATGAAACATGTCTTGATGTTGCTTTATGTATTTCTACAAAATTAAAACATCCAGATAGGAAAAAGCAGAAATATCTGTTTTGGTTTGCAGTCACATGAAAGACCAAAGCAAGAAAATCACCTAGCACCATTTTGTCCTTGGACAGATGAGGAAACTGAGGCTCAGAGAGACTAAGGGACATCATAAGGTCATTTAGAACACCCCAAATCAGTAACCTGAATCCCAAACCCTGTGCCTTACCTCCTCTGAATGCCAGTCTGGTCCATCCAGATGCCAAGAGCTCCATGTAGTGACTGATGTGCTGCTCAGACTAAACTTGGCTCCCCCACCACCTCTGCTTGGCTTTCCCCCTGACTGCCCCATTTAGTAACAGTCACTTCACTTCTCAGTCCAAAAATCTAGGAGTCATTCTCATTTACTCTAACCTCCACACCCTGTATCCCGCACATCAGCAAGTCTGCATATTTCTACTTACATGACTTGTCTCAAATTTGAACACTTCTCACCAATTTTGTCTGAGCTGGATGGGAGGCAGTGGCTGTGCCTGCTTTCACTCTTGCCCCTTCAGGTCCCTCTCAGCAGGTGGAGCCATCAGTTCAAGTGGAAATCTGGTCATATTATTTCCCCTGCTTAATCTCCTCCTCACTCACCCCTTCCCCACCAATATCTTTAAATTTGACACAGAATACAAAGTTCATACTATGGATTACAAGACTTTACGTGATAGAGATTTTCAAAGCGAGTGGATAGTGACCTTTAGAGGGACAATTTCCTTTCACTCCACTTCAAAGTCAGAGGAGGGCTCACTGGCCTCAGATACTTGAATTTCTTCCCAAATATCCAGAAAGAAATATACTTGAATTTCTTTTCAAATATCCACTTGAATTTCTTGCCAAATATTTTTTAGAGAAAGAATTAAAGAGTTGGGAATAACCAAATGCCATGAGGCTGACCTTAGTATCAAGTCCATATCAATAGTTACAGGTAGGCATTAGGACCTTGAACAAGGAAGCTGTACCAGTAGATGCTCTCAATATGCACTGTTAGAACTCCTTGGGATGAAGACTGTGTCTGTGCATCTTTAAACCCCAAGAGCCTGGCATACTCTCAGGATGAAATTGGGACTTAATACATGCTCATGGAATGGAATAATAAATGTCAAAAGTCACACCTGTCTGTGACATGCCTGATCACACAGTGTTGTAACAGTGCCAAGTTATTTGTAGCCTCTTCTGCTAGCTACTCTCAGCCCATACTGAGCTGTTTAGAAGAGAATGGGGCGGGGTGTGGGGAGAGGGCCATTGTCAGAAAACACGATACTTCCTGTGCCAGGCATGAGCCAAAGCTGTCATTAAATGCCTGCCTCCAAAACAGGGGGTCTAGTGAAAATTTTGGGCATTTGGCCTTTTGCTGTCTTCCTCCTGAAACTTTCCAGATGTGAATACCATGGTATAATTTCACATTCTGTTTCTGTAGAAATTTTTTTCCAAAAAACTATAAGAGAAAGGGTTTCTTGACCCAGGAAGCAATGGCCATAATCTGCTCCCAGCCATAATCTTCCAGTTTATGTCCCTAATTCAGGGAGCTCTCCTTTCTGCTGCTGCCTCCTCCTCCTCCAGAGGTTGTATCCCAGAGCCTGCCAGAGGAGGCTTGTCTCTTGGGAGGAAGACAGCTCTTCACAGAAAGCAAAGAACCGAATGGTGGGCAGATCAGCTGCCTGGGCACCTGTGCTGTAGTTTATCTGATGATTCTGAGGCCAAGAGCTCCTGGATAGCTGTCATGAGGGACACAATCCAAGCTATGGAGAGGAGCACATCTGCTTTCAACCACTGTACTCAGAAAGCTCCTAGAACTCTGCCGACAGCCTCTCCTGGTGAGTCAGGACTCGGCTGAGGACACATCCCCACCCTGCCTCCCATCTGGCCCTTTGGACAACTGCCCCTTTGTGATAGGGCTCGCTCAAGTGTTAAGCAGGGTCTCAGGCCTTTGATTTTTCACCCCTGCTCCACAGGCCCTGACCTCACTTTTACCAAAGGTTCCCCCTTGGTGGGAGGGCATCTATGTTGGAGGTGACTTGTCTCGGTTCTTCCTTTTGGTTCTGGGAGGAACTGTCATTGGCATCTGCATTGTTAGCAGTCAGTACCACCCTGCCCCATAATGAGAGTCAAGACTCACTTTTTCCCAGACTCCCCCTTTTGAATCCCCAAGCCCCACTCCCTCTTGGGGTTGGGGACAACAGGTCATGTTGGAAGCCACCGAAGCAGATTCTTTATGCCCTTTCCTCTGTGGCTGGCAAGGCTCACCTGGCCTTGTCCACCCACATATGGAACCTCAGGAGAGGAGGGCTCCTCCTGAAGTCATGCACCTGGTAGCCCCGCTTTCTCACACGTGTGACCCTAGCAAGAGAGGTCATCCTGCCTTTGCTGAAGTTAGTAGTACTGTACCAAGGGTTCTGCCCCCATGTGAATTCCTGCCCCGGCACCTCTTCCCTGGGACTGAATCAGGCACTGCTGCAGAGCTCCAGGCTTCCCAGAGTCGGAGAGGCTGTGGGACCAAGGTCCATGTCGGCCCTTCCACTGGGTGCAGCAGGAGCTGGGACCTGAGAGCCAGGCGGGTGAGATGCTGCAGGCCTTCCACCTGAGTATTATTCACTCCTTTCCTCACCCCAAGTGCCCTGCTCTCCAGGTGCCTAGAGAGGACCAGGGGTTGTCTTGCACCAAGTATGCCTACCCCTGGCCAGCCTGAGGTCTCCTAGCCATAGAACTGACTCCTGGAAGCTGGGAGAGAAGGTGGTGACACCCATGGGTTCTCAAGTGTAAGGAAAAAAGACACCAGACCTTTGTTCCCTACTGGGGAAAAGCCCTTAGTCTTCTACAGGAGCAGCTTGCTCCCATATCCTTTTGGAACCCGGCAGAGCTGTATTCCTGACAGCCCTGACTGCCAGGTGGAGCAAAAGACATTGGTGGCGGTATGTAAAGCAAAAGGGGCAGGTGCACACACACCTCCACCTGACCTCTGTGCACATGGTTACCACCAACTGGCTGGTATTCCTCCTCTTCCCTGGCCCACTGATAATCCCTTCTCACAGAGGGTTATCATTATTTCCAAATATTGTTGGTCTGATGACTTCCTCTTCCCAGTGCAATTTTTCACTTCCCATTTCAACCTCTGGTTTCTGGGATGAGCCATACCCTGGAACTGGCCCACCTGATGTGCCTTCCGTGTAAGGGAGACCTTTGCAAATGGCATCCAAATGGGTGGCAGGTCACAGCTGCCATATTTATTTTGCATAAGATCTTAATTTGTATATTTTTGTGATTTATTTTGGCATTATGTGTTAGACTCTCAGAGAGTTTTGTTGTTATTACTCTTGTGTCTTTTGTCACAAAACTGATAACATTTACTAAACGATATATGGAATTTATTTTTGATTGGTAATAAAAAATGAAATATGTATTAAAAAAAAAAAAGAGCTGTTACATAGCTCTCCCAGGAGCAGCAAAATTCTGAAGGTGTCAGTATTGTTAGGCCCACCACAGACTAGAGAATTGAGTCTCAAAAAAAGGTCAAACAACCCAAGTGGGGTCCCAAGCATGCTAGGGTGCAGATTTCTAACCTTTCAAACCTTGTGATACCCTGTTATTTGTTCACTTAGTATTCTTGTCCCTTTCCGTATCTCCTCCCTGCATACAACTGTCCCCATAAGTGGCTCATATCCTGATACTTTTTCAGGTTAATTGAATTTCATAGTGTTTCTTGAGACAGCTGGTGATACCCAGTGCCTGAGCATCACAGAAGGTTTTTAAGAGCAGGTATTAGACCTCATAACATCTGTCTGCCCTAATCTCTTCATCAAAGCTTTTAACAAGCTACTATTACAGACAATTCTTTCTCAATGGATGGAAAATATTTCCAGAACAATATTCAAGCACTCCATTTTCCTGTCAGAATAGTAAGTGTGGCTGGCTGATAAACCAGTATGAAAAATCAAATTTAAATGAACCAAATTTAAATTTATAAGAGCCTCATTTAACATGCAATTAATTTTATGCCTATAATAAAGAGAGTAAAGCCTCTGGTCTCCCTGAGGAATTAAAGAGGCTGATAAGAAAATGCTGTGCCTCGTAGAAATGGGATAATATGGCTCTCAAACACTGTCATCCTTTTGGTTGCATAATATTATATACATACAATACATTCCATTTCAGGGAAGTATTAATTTTACTAAAATTAATTAATTTTTTTGAGTATTCATAGAAATGTGACAAATGGGTTAGGGATGAAACATAGGCTATTAGTTTCTGACTTCCTTTTTAAGTTCTTATTCGCTCCTTTATATTATATCTTAAGTCTTTATAGTTTTTAGTGTTTTTGTTTCTTCCCCCTCAACAGGAATAATAAAAATGGTGGAGATCAGCTATATTTTAGGTTCCTTAAACTTTGTTCCAATCAGAAAAATGTTGAGCAAAGGCTTCATCTGCTAACCCCTTTATATTACTACTAAAACCAACATTTACATTAAGAGGAGTTGGGGCAGTCACTTATTTCTGATTTAAACCATTTTAAGGAGTTTGATGTGTAATAAATATGTCTCTAGCTCACTATAAGCCTATTAAGTAATTCAAAATATAAACATTAATTTGCATTGTTCAAGAGGAAAAATACTGTTGAAAAGAAGCTGCTTTTTATTCTAAATTTTGCTTCTGGATATTGCCACATACAAGTCACTGTGAAGGTCGTTTCTAAGTATATATTTTCCTGTGAGAGTGATAATATTCTTGAAAAAGTTCTAAGACTTTTCTTTTTGGGGGAAGTCAGCCTTTGATATATTTTTAAAACGTTCTAGAGTCAATTAACAATCATTGTATTCAACGCAGTTTTGAAACTATTCCAATTCTATTTTTTTCAAGTAAATTATTGAAGGAAACCAAACTTCAACCCTTTGAACAGTGCTCATATTTGGATTTTGGGGATTTTTCCTGCTTCTGTTCCCAGGATTGAAGGGCTCCCTCCAGAGGCTGCAGCTCGAGTATGTAGATGTGGTCTTTGCAAATCGACCAGACAGCAATACTCCCATGGAAGGTAAGTTAAGAAATTTAGTAAAATACACTAGAACTCTTGATTCAGTTTGAGGACTTACTCTGCACACAGTAGGAAAAGAATTGTATTCAGATTGATCAGACTGAATATGAAAAATGAAAACATTTCTGACCAATGTCTTTTGGCCTCAGTGTTTACCCCCAAAACCAATGCTCTGCGTGCTGCATCTTCTTTCTTTTTTTAAGCAGTTGAAGGCATTGGGTTTGTGGCTTCTGCTGGTTACAGTACTCACCTTTTCCAGGATCATTTCACTTTCGTGATTTCATCAACTGAAACAATAAAGTTAATTGGAAGGGGGCTTTATAACTCAGCCATCGTCATTTCACAGTAAGTCCTTTGAGGGTCTTCCTATTTTATAATGCCTCTAAGTCTGAATAGCTTTCAGTCTGTGATAACAAGTGCTCAGTGGTGCAACCAGCAGGGATTCCACAGGAGCGACTGCTTCAAAATAAGATTTCATTGCAGTTTGATTGTTGATTCTCAAGGAGCTGCCACATTTTGTGCCCTTTCTGTTACACCTGTTTGAAGACCACAATTTAAGCTTCTCCCTGTGGAAGCTTTCAGAATGTTTCTGAAACCAGATTTTCCTCAATTTACATTTATTTACAAAACTTGCTAGGATGTTTGAGAAAGAAGATAGTTTGAAAGGATGAGGATGAATTTAAAAGAATGTTCCTGTTAACCGAAGTTTAAAATCATATTCATTATCACTTACCTGAGGTGACTGAAAATGAAGATATTTGAGGAAAAGAGCAAAAATGAATATTCTGGTTATTTGAGCAATATGATATAGAGTACCACTTTTAAAATAATTAGAATAGTTTGATTCATATGAGATTACACTGAAGGTAACTTTGTCCTTGATGATCCAAAAGGCAGGATCTTGTAATAAATCAGGTTCTGTGAAGACTGAATCTTGTTATAGGGTTATAGAAGGGTTATAGTAGTAATGGAAAAGTATACATGACTGACATAAATTTTTCTAGGCTGTATTTCTGACTATAAAAAAATGTTGTGGAAGTTATTTTCCTTGCCATTTATCTTGTTCTGAACTACAGAGAAAGAAACTACTATATCTAATTTTCTCCTACAGTTTTCTGCTTTCTTGAATCTGGGTAAATTAGGAGTTTGTTATAAAACAGTATCAGTGTTGGAACTTATCCATGGAAATGACATAAAATTGCATTTTTTTGTCAAAGCAAAGATTAGGTGTTTGATAAAGCAAATAAGCATTTTATTAGTATAAGAAGTATTCATTGTAACAATATGATGTCATACAACTCCTATTTATTTGTTTTCATTTTTTATTTTATTTTTCCGTAAGTTATTGGTGTACAGGTGGTAGCTGGTTACATGAGTAAGTTCTTTAGTGGTGATTTGTGTGATTTTGATGCACCTATTACCTGAGCAGAATACACTGCACCATATTTGTAGTCTTTTATCCCTCACCCATCTCCCACTCTTCTCCCCAAGTCTCCAAAGTTTATTGTATCATTCCTATGCCTTTGTGTCCTCATAGCTTAGCTCCCACATATCAGTGAGAACATATGATGTTTGGTTTTGCATTACTGGGTTACCTCACTCAGAATAATAGTCTCCAGTCTCATCCAGGTCACTGCAAATGCTATTAATTCTTTCCTTTTTATGGCTGACTAGTAGTCCATTATATATATCCACCACGGTTTTTTATCCACTCATTGATTAATGGGCATTTGGGTTGGTTCCCTGATTTTGCGGTTGTGAATTGTGCTGCTATAAACATGCATGGGCAAGTATCTTTTTCGAATAATTACTTTTTTTCTTCTGGGTAGATAACCAGTAGTGGGATTGTGGGATCACATGGTAGTTCTACTTTTAGCTCTTTAAGGAATCTCCACACTGTTTTCCATAGTGGCTGTACTAGTTTACATTCCCACCAGCAGTGTAGAAGTGTTCCAGTCATACAATTCTTAATGACACATTAAAACAGAGCACTAAAGTCCTTTAGTCTGCAAAAGTGTCAAGTAAAATGCCATTTAGTGGGGTCTACGAAAGAATGAAATTGCTTCACATTTTAAGTGCCTAGTGACTATTTTCCTCTTTGAGACAGTGTTCTCTGCAATTATACCATGTACACGATAGCGGATATCTGAGATTTTTAAGGACGTTTTTCCCATCTTACCCTACCTTTAATTTTAGGAATATATTATAGGAGTCTCTCAAACAGAAAACATAATTAGCATTATATTTATAGAAGAGGGAGGAAATCCTCAATTAGGAGCCAAACTATGTGATACTAACAAGATAATGATGTCTTTTATTATATGTTGAAATTTATTAAAATAAATCTTTAAAGTGTTTGAAAAAATAATTACTGCTGCCCAGTGGAGTTCATAACTGCAGCATTGTTTAGCTTTTGTGGAAATCAGAGAAAATTTACATTTTTCCCGAGTAGTTTCTTATAATACAATTCCACATAGCGAAATGGGAAGCTATTTTATCATGAGTAATTTTCCAAGTTCAGAAGCATAATGAAGGGTGTCAAACAATGGTGATTCGCCACTTGTTGATAAGGTCATGGCACATGGCATTGAGTAGCACAGCAGCAATCCACCACCTCATCCTGGAATGTAGCCCGCTCCCCCGCACCAGCAAGGGGAGACTCACCCCAGCGGCCCATCAAGCTCTGAGACTTATTCTTTTGGGAGGACTTAACAGGGACATTCCACAGGCAGCTCCTCATGCAGGACTTGTTCCAGATTGAAATAGCTTCTATGTGAGTTTTTTCTGGCTTTCAGAAAATGTTTACCCTCAAACTTAGTACATTTATTTGTTCCAAGGTGGGCCAATTGGAAAGCCAGAGTTTGATATGTCTCTGAAATACATCTATTCATACAGTCTTTTCTACTTTACTGTACTGGGGGAAAGTACTGATCTGGGAAATAGAGAAGAAATAGGAAATAAACAGACAGGACTGTCAGGTGGACTTGGGTACATTTGGTACCCTAAAAATGGGAAAAAGCTACCTGTGTTAGTTCTGGATTCCATGTTGTTTTGTAAATCCTGCTGTGTGTGTATGGGAATAAAGTAGTACATGTACAATGGGGTATACCTTAGGAAGGCTATTAGTGTTTCTGAAAACATTACAAAAGGCAAATGTTATGTATAATCAAATTACCCTGGAAAACACTGCAGTAACCCTGTTAGTCAATGATAATCTATAGGCTTTAATTCTTCAATTTATTTTTCAAATGTGGTGAAAAAATCATCACCAGATAGTTGTCCAACCTCACGCCCCTTTTTTTGGTCGTGGCAGAAAAATCCTTAATATCAAATGATACTACATTCTTTTCTTGTTTCAGCAACTCACATTGGCTATTTTAGGCTCGCTTGCCTCCTGTTTAAGTGACACAACAGTGGTTGCCAAGTATATATTGTTGAATATTTATATATTAAACCTACATTTATTAATACTATAGACCCTTAGTATTTGTAAGTAATTTTTATTGATTTCAACTATCCCTTGTTGAAATCAATAAAATTATGTCAACTCCATGTAGTCACAACACACGCTGACATAATTTTGCTGAGGCACCTCTTTTAAATACAGGAGACATGGCACTTTCCAAATGAGTTCAGCCCAACTCAGTACTAGCTCTTATTTATCACTGATTATGAGGTAGAGTGGACTTCAAGAACTTGGGGACCCCGTCATAAACTATGCAAATGTCAAGGGTCATGTGTGTGCCCACAATGAGCATCTCTAAGATACATTTAAACAAATTCCATTTAAATATTATTAAATTGCCAACTGCATACGTGTTATTTCTACCAGGAAATGATGTTAATTGGGAACATTTTAAAAATAAACCAAGATGAGTTTCATCCAGTTTCTACATATCGTATAGCAACCATTTGAGCCAGAAAAAGATTAAATGCAGCATCTTTATAATATACTGGCATCATATATCCAATTAGATGTTTCCTTCCCTTATTTCTTAGAAAATTAATAGATAAAAAGTGAGTCCTCTCAAAAGAATGGCTGTAAATTCCAAAGGTACAATCAGTGGAGAAAGGGGTAAGACACTTCATTCGCAATCTGCAACTCCGTGGAATACAGTTAGACATTTTCTGGCTATGGGAAGATGTTCCTGACAACAGAGGGGAGCTTGTGTACTTTTCCCTCTGTCCCTCTTATTTATTTTTTTCTGGTTCACCTAGTAGTAAGTCATTTTTCTTTCACAGCATCTGCCATGCCATCTGTCTCTGCTACAATATCTGGCAACAATGTTTTCCAGTCCTAGAAAAAAAATCAGCCCCACATCCCATTTCTTCCTTCTTATGGGTCTGTGTTCCTCCCAGTAGAATCACTGACAGTTCTTCATGCTCTATGAAGCTCATATCCTTAATTCTCTTACTTCCACAAATCCCTAAGGTATATTCATTAGTCAAGAAAAAATACAGGCAATAGAGTCAGTCTGGACATGGATAGACAACAGAGCATTTGTGTGTTCAAGGACCTGTATGAGGAGTTTTTTTCATTTGATTTTCTGTCATTCCCCAATACCAGGCTAATATCTCTACCTATACTCTTCTCACTGCTCTGGGAAGCAGAGATTGAGCCTAATTTTGGTCAAGAAAGGAGGGCTGTAAGCCTGTGCCACTTGTGGACAACAGCAAAAAGAGGGGGCACACTAACTTGTCAATCTGACAATATGATTTTTAAATTAAATTTTAATTAATGTTTAATTTAAAAAACACTTGAAATTGAGTCCTTACTTTGCATATAGAGCTTGTTGCTGAAACTGATATTCTTACAGAATTCCTGAGACATTAAATATTATTTCCATACTGATTACATTTCCAGTTATTTTTTCCTACTAGCAGATCAGTGCAGACAAAAAGCAGCCCAGATGTCTTCATTTCAAATAAGAGAAGCAAGACCAAAGTTAGCTTCACTTATTCCCATAATATCATCTTGTCAAATAATCCATACCATAAGTATTTACTTCTTTCTAAGCCATCTTTTTTAGCATTGTCATGTGAAAGCAGGCATCTATGGCTATTTGGGGATTCAAGATAACCAATGAAAACTCAGAAAATGGCAGAAAGTAGAAAACATAGCAGTATCCCAAGTTTTCTACATTTTGACAGTTTCATAATACTGGACCTAGATATTTAACTTCCAAAGTAAAAAGCTTTCAGAACAAAAATTAACCACCTAAAACCTGGAAACATCATTTAACCACAGTAGATCAGCCCTTCCACCTCTATCTTTTATTATCTTCCCTGAAAGTTACCATCAACCTATCTGAAAAAACGTGATATAGAAGGAAGAAATATTCTGCAAGTATTATAACAGAGCTTTCCAATAGAAATATAATGCAAGCCATGTATGTGTAATTTAAATTTTCTATTAGCTACATTAAAAAAGTAAAAAGGGAAGGGAACAACACACACAGGGCCTGTCGAGGGGTGGGGGACAAGGGGAGAGAGAGCATTAGGATAACTATCTCATGCATGTGGGGCATAAAACCTAGATGAGGATGACAAGTGCAGCAAACCACCATGGCACATGTATACCTATTAACAAACCTGTATGTCCTGCACATGTATCTCAGAACTTAAAACAAACAAACAAAAAAAAAATACAGTAAAAAGAAACAGGTGAGGTTATTTATTATATTTTATTTAATGTGATATATCAAAAAATTGTCACTTCAACGCAATCCATTAGTATCCAAAAGTTACGAATGGTATATATTACATTATTTTTTTCCCTACTAACTCTTTGAAATCAGTTGTGTGTACCCTAATTCGGAGCAACACATTTCAACTGCTCAATAGACAGTTTTAATTAGGATCAGCCACATTTCAAGTCCTCAATAGCCACATGTGGCTAGTAGCTACTGTACTTGATCACACAGGCTTTAAACTATATTCCCAGTCTAACAGAGCTGCAGGCACACAGTAGATGCTCAGTAATATTTCAAACGTAAGCCCCATTTTTAGAATGTCCTAGATAAGGTATGTACATATAAAACTCCCCTTTTTCTGGATCTCTTCTCAGAGATAACTATGAGAAGAGATCATATGGTATTATAATATTAGATGGATGGATGGATGGGTGACTGAACAAGTATTTGAGTGATTGAATGAATAAAGCTCTAAAGTTAAATAGCTCCAACTTCATTTTCTTCTACTTGAAAATCTATCTTGGTTTTCTAATATGTATAAACATTCTGGTACCTGGTTCAACATATTTCAAGGTGATGTTGACAGGTTGTTGCCAAACAGCCCCAGGACACTTACATGCTGTTTCTCATCTGCAATCGCAGTAGCATCCAGATGCTGCATCTCTTTTTAGAAATCTGATTTATATCTAAATGAGCAGAAATGAATGAAGGGACAATTCTTTGCCCCTGAGTATTACTATATCAATTAAGATTATTTAATGCATTTCACTGATTACCCTAGCCAGGACGTTCCCACGGACCTCTGGTGTACATCAGATCAATTTAACCTCCTGGCTTGAAAGGCTGGGACAGCTGAGTTTTCAAGAAATTAATTTGGAAAAAATTATTTTAATATAAAAGAAGAGGACCAAGCCCCGGCCAAGCTCGTGCCAAAAAAAAAAAAAAAAAAAGAGTTTCAATTTTAAAAAGTAGTTTTGTTTCCATTTTAACTGTAAATTCACCAAAAATTTTCCTGATACTTTAGGCCTATTTAGCTGATGTTTTATCCTTTACACACCAATAAAAACTGTGTTATAAAAAGACAAATTTATTTCATCCATCCTAAAAAATAACAATAGGGGACAGTTGGGTTCACTTCAGTTCTTTCCATCTCCAGTTCATCTGTTTAGAAATAATCTCATGTTTCTGTTCATGGTGGGCTTCCTCATGGGAACAATATTTCTGTGGAGTGGACTGGGGATTAGACAGACACAATTTCAAATTCTGGCTTTGCTACCTGTCAGACTGTACACTTGGGGCAAGCTACTATCCTTACAGAGGCTCACTGTCCTTATCTGAAAACAGAGAAAACACATAAAGAAGCATTTGAATGAGTTAACAGTGTGGTTACAGCACCTCACTTACAGCTGGGGCAAACGTAAGCCCCATTTCTGGAATGCCGTAGATAAGGCATGTACATATAAAACTCCCCTTTCTCTGGATCTCTTCTGAGGTAACCGTGGGAGAAGTCCAAGGCCCTGAAATTATAATATGATGAAAATTAACGGAGGTAGCCAAACTGCAGGGCTGAACAGGTTCTGTGGTGAAGTCATGTAAGATTCAAGCCATGGAGCTGGCAGTGTAATTTTCTTATAGCCCATTTTTTTCCCTAAAATTTTGCTCTGAAACTCTTTATTTTCCTTAAGCTGATTTAATAATAAAATTTCCAGGGTGAATCTATTCATCCTGAAAGGTAATCTTGTGCCTATGACTTTATTTTCAAAGATGGCTCTAGAAAAAAAAACTCAACAATAGGATTAACTCATTCACTCAGTTGATATTCACTTAATACTTACCATTCAAGCACTGTTCTGGGTACTTGGAGAAGCAGAAGTTAATAATTAAACAAAAATCCTACCCTTATAAAAAATCACATTCTTATTGGGAAGACAGACAATAAGTTAGTAAGAAAGTTACATTAGATGGTGATAATAGAATGGAAAAACAAATTAATCCTGGGAGGGGGCTAGGAAGTTATGGAGGGTAGATTTTAGATAGGATGACCAAAGAAGGTCTAACAGGAGGAAATGGTGGGCAGTAGGGAGGGGGCTTGGAAGTAGTTTGGCCGCCTCCAAAATAGAAATGGTATGGCTTTAAGAGTCAGACCTTAATTGAAATCCTCTTTCTGTTACTAGCTAATTGATCTTAGGCAAGTTAATGAACTTCTCTTGTCCTTGGTTTTCTTATCTGTAGAATGCAGATAATAATATCTGCTCTATAGGGTTATTGCAAGGATTATTTGAGATAATATATACAAAATGCTTAAGATGTTGCCTAGTAACTACTTGAAATTTAGAGCTACCATTTTTGTTATTGTTACTGGTTTGCATAGTACTACTGTAAATTTTTTATGCAGGAAATTACCTTGATGCAACTGCAGTCTCCAAGTCTACTACCAGGTTATCCTAGAGGTCTCAAAGAAGAAAGACTAACACAACAAATTAAGATGCATGAGTCATGTGGTTTATCAAATCAATTAAAACACATTATGAGAAGAAAGAGGGAAAGAGATAGGAACAGTTAAAACAATTACAATAGAATTCAAGCAGGAGAAAGAACCCAGCTACTCAAATCCTGAGACACACAGTGCTCATGTGACCTGTTCTCTCTGTCTACCACACTGACCTTCCCTATGGTGTGATTACGTAAGTCAGATCTGAGGTTTCAGCAAGGGACTCAGCAGGGAAAAGATGCCAAGGTCAGTAGTACACTTGGAAAGACCCAGGGACAAGCCCACCTGGCCATGACGTATAGCTCATCATTTGGCCTGATGCACAGCTAAGGACTATTTGCATTCCTTGTACAGAGGATTTCTGTGGCTAGAATGGGGGTCACCAGTGGGTAGATGATTGAAGACTTCATTCAAGTTCTTATATTTTATGTATTCATATTTAGTATATTTCAAATGTTTGGTGTCATATGCATATGGATGTGTTGTGAATATCACCTCTTTCCATTCCTCCCTACTATCTGTGTTCAGCATGCACATTCTCTACTTTGTCGATGGCTACTATGACTCAGGGGTTACTAATCCACTTAGTTTTACCATGCTCATGTAAATTCTGCCTATGTCTCACAAGCTACTTGTATCTCCACCCAGTGTCCTTTATCCTCTTTTTTGTTTCACTTACTTTTTGAGCAGAACTGGATGATCTTAAGTAATACAGCAAAGGCACATTACAGAGTTCACCACTCTCAGTCGTCCACGTGTTGCCTCAGGTTCAGCGAGTCCTCCAGGCCTGTTGAAAAATTTTCAGCATTAACAGAGGCCCACAAAGTTCCAACTGTGGATCATTCTGATATGCATCTATCAGGAACAGAGCCGTGGTTAACAAATTCTTTTCCAACTGGGTTTCATAGAAAGAACAAGAGCTTCAGAAAAAATTACCTTTACTAGAACATACTGAGACGTTACAATTGCCAAGGCTGCAGAAAATAGGTGAAGAGCTGGCTTTAAAGAAAACTATACTCCAGAAAAAAAGTTGTTGAAAACAGCTGTTTTTTTTTTTTTTTTTTCTGCTTTCTTTGGAAATCAACAATTCCCAACCTTATTTCATAAAGTCCTGGTTTGAAGGGAGGATTCTGAAGAAGGATATGCCTATATGCTATGCAATTTAACTACTTCCTCTATTTTCTTCTCCTCTTTTTTTTTTTTTTCTTTCATGACACCTTTACTCAACAGTGAAGGCAGAAGAGATTCAATCTGTATCATTAGTAAGATAAAGAGGACAAACGAGGTGGGCCAGATGTTTGGGGGCCTATTGTACCATCTCACAACAAATCTGTGAACTTCACCAAGTTCCAAAAGGGTGCTTTTTTCTCCTTCTTCTTTTTTCCTTAAGTCATTTTTAGTTAAGAAAAAAGAGAGAGAGAGCACGAACAGAGACCGCTTCTGCTCACCCCAGCTGTCAGGTGAAAAACAGAGCTGCTTAGTATTCTGGGGCTGTGGGTTTGTGACTCATGTGCACTTCCTTCTGCGAGTTGTCATTTCTCTGAAAGATATTTGGAGTTGTGACAAAATTTAACTCCACATTCTGAGGGGATGTTGACTGGTTCTCAAGGGAATTCATTTCTATAAGTTCCTTGATCTGCTGCAGCAGATCTGCAGTGACATGCAGAGAGGATGTGGAGACTGACATTACTTAGCAGCAACACCCTCTGAGGGTTGACTGGCATGCTGATTGAATGCAGTGAGCAGAGCCACCTGTGTCAGGCTAATCTAAAATTCTCAAACAGCTGGGGATAAACAAATACCCTCAAGTCTCTTACTTTCTGCAAAAAAGGAAGTATTAATAATGAGAGTAAGTGGTTTTGTTAACCCCACTCCTGAATATTTAATGTGTCCTGAAAAAATATAAGGTCTGCAATCAGAAGACAAGGATCCTAGTATTAGGTATATAAACTTGGCTGACTTGCTCAGACCTTCTACTTCTGTTTTTCATTTATAAAATGGGAAGAATAAAACTACTGTAGGTATTTCCAAGATTGTTGTGAAGAACACAAGTCTCCAGATTGAAAGTGCCCACTCAGTACCCAATAAAATGAACAGAGACTGATGCAAAGAAACGTTATCATGAAATTTCACAACTGAAAAGAGAAAGAAAAGCATCTTAATACATTTCAGAGATTTAACTGAATACACACATGAAGGATCAAGAAAAAAGATTGCCTAGGGATTCTCAACAGCAACATGGGGAACAAAAACACCATGAAACATGCCTTCAAAATTCTAGGCAAAAAGATGATGGGCAAACTACCAACCAAGAGTGAGGAGGTAATGCCATTTTGACTTTGCTGTCTCTCAAACACAGTTTCTCACAAGCTGCTGGAAAATGTGTTCCACCAAAATGAGAGAATAAAGCCACAAAGTGGAAGCCATGGGATCTGCTTTATTAAAGGGAGGAGGAGAATTTTCCAAATGATGGGAAGGGAAATGCCAGGAGGACAGCTATGCAGTAGGCACAGAAAGTGACCAGCAGAGGCTGCTGCAGGGCGATGAAGGGCTCCAGAAGGCATGTTGCCAAGAAAACAAAAAGGAACTGAGTTTCTTATCAGCTTGACCATCTGGAAAACTGTATTGAGAAATATTTTGCACAAAGTATGGAAGAGTCGGCTGTAGCTCCAAATCAAACCAAATTAATAAAGCAATTGTTAATGAAAGGTAACATGAAAATTTATGGGAGAAAGGAAATACAAGCATTATAGACTAGTTTACTCAGCCATGGATATTAATACTTAGTCATAAAAATGAAAACACAATGAATCTACACTTGTATTTGTGAGATAAACTTAACTTTCTCATGATGTATTATTTTATTTTAAATATCATATCCTATCTGGTAAGTTAATATTTAATTAGGACTTTTATGCCTAAATTCATAAACAAAATAAGCCTGTAATTTCTTTTCTGATGCTGCCTTTATTTGGCTTTGGAGGTCTTCTTACTTCTCTGTTAGGACCACAGTACTCTATAAATAATGAATATTTAATACACGCTAGCTATCTAATATTATTCCTTGATGAAAAATAGGAGGTGATAAAATTAGGAACTAATAAAAAGAATAGAACCAGATAGAGAACTCTAAGTTCCTGATTAGCACTGCATAATATCTGAGAAATTATTCGATTCTGGAATGTAATTTGGCTAAATTTAATTACACCATCCTCTTTTAAAACATCAAGACACAGATAAGAATGTAAGTCATTTGTTTCAGATCTCATAGCTAATTACTGGAGGAACTAGAGCTAGAATCCAATTCTCCAGAATTTTGACTCCTAGCCCTAGTGCTCATACAAAAACGTATGTTAATAGATACTAACTATATCACCTCTAATTTCGTTGGTGATAGGTACATTCCATTTCAAAAAATAAAAGTAAATTGTTTCTTTCTCACCTACAATAAACACAGGACGATGTTAAGTGCCATAAAGAATAAAAAAGAAGATAAAGGACCTGCAGGGTTAGTTACTTCTTTTAATTGCTCATTCTGAAATACAGGCCCCTCCCCCTGAATCTGGACATGCTCTGTGACAGCTTTAACCAAAATATAACGAGTGACGTTACATTAGTTTGGGGGCCCAGGCCTAAGAAGCTGGCAGTTTCCATCCACTCTTTTTTAGCACTAACTCTCCAAGCCCTCATCTGTGTATTCAGTTAAATCTCTGAAATGTATTAAGATGCTTTTCTTTCTCTTTTCAGTTGTGGAATTTCATGATAATGTTTCTTTGCATCAGTCTCTATTCATTGTATTGGGTACTGAGTGGGCACTTTCAATCTGGAGACTTGTGTTCTTCAGATCTGGAAATTTTCTTGTATCATTTTGCTATTACTCCTCCTCCTCCATTTTATCTGTTCTCTCTCTAGACATCCTTCAGTTGGAAAGATATTGGACTCCTGGACAGAACCTAATTTTCTTATCTTTTCTCTCTTATTGTCCACTCCTTTTTCTCTTTTACTTTTTGGAATATTTTCTCAACTTTAATGTCCAGCATTCTTGTTGACTTTAAAAAAATTAGCCATTATATTTTAAATCTCTAACATCTTTTTCTAGTTCTATGTTGTTCTTGCTCTCTTCCATCTTGTTTCTGTTCTATTGATGTAATACCTTCTTTTATATCACCAAGTATATTATAGTTTCTTTGAACTTTTCTGTATCTCTCTGTATTACTGTTTTCTGTTTTCTATTTATTTGAGATTCTTTTCCTCAGTTGTTCCAGCCATCCCAGCCCAAGCACCAGATAGGTCAGTGAAGAAATTCAGATGCTCCTCCCTCAGCTTCTGCATGACTACAATTGTAGGAGTCACAAGCAACACCCAGCTGAGTGCAACAACCCCAAAACTGTGGGAAATAAAATGTTTAAGCCACTACAAAAATGAAAACACAAAATATGAACTCAACCCAAAGCTGAGATACAAATATATTAGTAAGATAGTGAGTGTTAAATGGTATATAAGAGAAAGCTAACACCTTCACCTCCAGGAGAGGCCAAGAGAGCAATACATAAATATTATTGAGAATTACAGAGTTTATTACCAGAGTGCACAGCTACATATGTTGGCAGTAGTTCCTTCTGCAGTGCATGGAAAGAGTTCAAGGGACTGCTGCTTTTTGTTACAAGCCTTTGAGCGTTGATTTAAACATTATGCATATATTACATTGACAAAGCTAAAGATTAAAACAATAACCACACAAATGGGATAAAAATACCAGTGGTTTTGAGTGGTCAGTAATAAGTATGATTGTGGCTGTCAAAGTCTAGACACAGTCCTTGGGGTTTAGAAACACACAACCAATGCTAGTTTTTCTAGCCCAGACTCCATGATCAGAGGCCAACCCATCTCTCACCATATCCCTCCAGAAATATGCCCACACCAGAGCCCCACCCATCTCTTCCTAAACAAGCTGTAGGGAGCCTGACTTCTTCCTCAGTGTCTGCCAAAGTGGGCTGTGCCAGATAATCCATTGCAGGATATGAAGAAAGTATTACCAATTCTATTTTACATCATCCTTTTTCTTTTTTTAAAAAAATGAATCCTTCATTGGAATTATATGATATTTTTCAGAGTTCTATTTATTGTATATATTTTTGTCTATTTTTAAACTTTCCGCTGGTATAATTTCAGACATAAAAAGTAAGGAAAATAGCATAAAAAATTCTATATGCCCCTCACCCAGATTTCCCCAAATGTGAACACCTTCTGTAACCATTTAGAATTATCAAAACCTGGAGATTAACATTAACACAATAATATTATATGATCTGAGTCTTATTCATGTTTCTCCAGCTGTCCCACTAATATCCTTTTCTGACCAAGATCACACGTTGCAGCTACTCATCACATGTCTTTAGTCTCCTGTAAGCTGGATCAGCTCGTCAGACTTTGTCTTTATAACTTTGAGACTATTGACTAGTTACCTCGTAGAATGTCCTTCAACTGGAATTTTTTGGGCATTTTCTAGTGATTTTTTCTCTAATGGAGAAAATAAGGGAAAACAACAAACATTGTATGGGGAATGGGAAAGAGCCTCAGCAACAAGGAAAGCCCCAAAGAAATTAAGGGCCCCAGATACAACCAATGTGTGGAACAATGAAATAGGTACAAGGAAAATAAGATGGGGCATCCCAGGGAAGACCCATGGAGACAGGACAGCGTCTTCTGTAATGGCCCTTGCAGTGACAGCTGCCCAGCCACTACTGGGCCAGCCTCACTTTAACATATAGAGTGATAGATGCTTTA